CGGGTTGATACCTGAGGGAGGACTACGAATCCCAGCAAGCAGTGTGCGACGCGAGAGCGAAGGAGGAGGAGCCCGGAGCCGTCGGAGCCCACGGAGACAGGCACAGGAATGTACACCTTTTGTGCTCGAGGAGGTCTGGGAGGTCCTGGGACACAAACCCAGGACTCTTCCCATGTGGGCCCGTTGTGTTACCACTGTGCCACCACTTGGCCCATTGAATTCTCATTCTTTTTTTTTTTTTTCCTTTTTTTGGAGAGGTTTTTGCTACAGAGCGCGTGCGCTTGCCAGAAAGACAGAGAAATCACCCCCCCAGGGGGGATGGCCACGCCACAATCCCTTCTCCATTCTCCTCTCGGGATCTTGGGCACGGAGCGCACACGCGCCCGGCATGAGTTTAAGCCACCAGGTTCGAACCACGGTAGACTACATGGGAGTCCAGTGACATAGCCATTACGCTATCTGCTGACCCCGAATTCTCATTCTTAAAAGCACAGAAAAATAGTGGGCTATGACAACATATTTAAATGACTTTCCAAATCAGCGGGAATGGCCAATAAAACCACCTACAAAAAATGGGGCCAGTGGCAACACTTTCATATAGGCAGGACGTTGGGGCCATGGCAGTGTAAAATTAGGGGACAAAGACTTCTCAGGCTCTAGAGACAGACAGACAGACAGACGTGTTAAAAACACATGTGAAAGGTAGAACAGGGTTATCTGTATGAGACCTTTCTCAGTAGTGGTCTCAACTTCATGATATGCACAGCACCCAGCACAGTGCCTGATACATAAGTTTGAAAGATGTCAGTATTCTCTATCTTACGCTTCCATTTTCTTCCTAGGAATTTTAATAAATTTTATTTTTCACTGGTACTATTTACCAGGCACTGTGGCACCTTGCCTGTATCTCATATAATATGCACAATAATTCCCTAAGATAGTTATAGTTACTATCTCCATATTACAGATAAAACCAAAGCTAAGAGAGGACAAGAAACCAACTTAATGCCACAATTATTAAGTGACAAGGCCCAGTATTCCCATCTTTGGGTTGACTTCATGGCCCTCAACTCTTAACATTCTATAAGTTGCCTGCGTGGGAAGCCTTGGAAACCGGAAGCGCCATTTATAAAGGCCAGCCAGGCTGTCCAGAGAAATGTTGTTTTTATGACCGTTACCTGCTGAATCTGCCCTTGAATCCTCAGAGACAAGGGTCGGGGATCCAGCCCTGACTTGCCACTGACTTCCTGGTGGTGTGGCTCTAGTAAGTTCCTCGCTCTCATCAGGCACGAGGTTTCACCTCAGCAAATGGACAGTGTAGGGTGAGACATAGCAATATCTTGTAAGTTATCTTATATAACTTACATCCCCTGCAAAAGTAAGCTCTGTCGGCTTCGCTTAACGTTTTAGAAATCACACACCAGACCGAGAGGACAGACAGCAATCTCGAGACAGAAGACACCCATGGTTTACCCCTTCCCGATAAAGACAGACAGAGTCCCGTCCCACCTTCCACTCCCATTGTCACCCCACAGGCGGCCCCCCGGTCCGGGCTGTCCCATTGTCACCCCACAGGCGGCCCCAAGGTCAGGGATGGCCCAGGCCCTCACCCCGTGGTTGATGTGCTCGTAGACGGCATCCGCGCCTTGATCGAAGGCGCGCTCGAAGAACAAGGCGCCCACCGCGATGGTGAGGGCGAAGGTGGACGTCCTACGGAACAGCAGGGAGTAAAGTCTTGCACTAAGCGTCGGGGCAGCCATGTTTCTTCACTCTGAACTCTGGCCACTGCGCCTGCGCTGGGGCCGACCCCCCTCCCCCTCCAAAGGCTCTCGACTTGCAATGCTTTATGGGATTTGTAGTTCCTCTGAATATTAGTACTCGTTGTTTGAAACCATGACTTGTAACAGATGACTTGAACAAGAGAATAAAATTCATGATATTAATCTAAGGATATGCAACTAATTTGATAATATTTACTATCCATTTTTTCCCGCAATTTCTTGCTATTTTATTATTTTGAACTACAACTCCCAGAAGCCCTCACGCCTCTCCCAGCTCCCCCCTCCCCACGGCGGTCGGGTTGATACCTGAGGGAGGACTACGAATCCCAGCAAGCAGTGTGCGACGCGAGAGCGAAGGAGGAGGAGCCCGGAGCCGTCGGAGCCCACGGAGCCAGGTACCTTCCTTGGCCGGGACGGCAAGGGGTGACTCCTAGTCTCTTTCCCCCCTCCACAGATGAACTTGGGCTCTTCCTTCTAAGTCCGCAGGCCCTGCGGCGGGACGCACAGTCTCTTGGGATGAGGTGTAGATAGACGGGCGAAAGGCTCCCAGAACCCAGGTTCATCTTTACTAGGCCTAGAGGTTGAGCCTGTGACTAAAATTGAGACTAAAGTCGAGTCTAGAGGGCCGAACTCTTCAGCCCTCAGCCCGTGCTTCCTGCTCCCCTTACTCCTGGGCTTCGCAGTCCACAAGCCTGGCCCGGAAGGCGGGAGACCGGACACCACACGTTCCTTCCCAGGAATAGACTCGAGTACTTGAGGCAGTCCACAAATGTTTTCTGAGCGCCTCTTACCTGCTCCGGGTCCTGCGCTGGCACCCGGCGGTGAACAAGTCCCTGCTCCCAGCGGGCTTCATGCTACTGTGTGAGGGCAGATGGCAGGGGCAGTAACAACGCAGTGCTGTGTGCCACCGAAGACCGCGGTGGAAGGCGGCGGTGGCGGTAGTTCACCTGGGTGCCCACCCTCAGGTGACACTTGACTGAAGGCCTCAATGAATAGCTGGAGGTCAACAGGAAAATGTTGGTACAAAGGCCTTGGGGCAGCTGCAGCCCTGGGATGTTCGAGGGAAAGTAGAGTGGATGTTGAAGAGATGGGTTTGTTTTGGCTCCTGTCTAGCTTTGTAACCCATAGTAGAGAGTCTTTTTTTTTTCTTTCCCTTTCCTCTCTTTTCTTGTTTATTTTTTTCTTATAGGGTGCATGCTCTTGCTAGAGATTGGGGATGAGAAATCACCCTCCCAGGAGTATAGCCATCCTACAGTCCTTTCTCTTCCATTCTTCTCTTGGGGTTTGGGGGATGCTCGCAGATGCTTCGGCATGTTCCTTAAGCCACCAGTCCTTGGCATGAACTACCGTGTCAGCATTGTCGGATCCAGCCATTCTCGTCACTGGGCCACCAGCTGGCCCAAGAGTCTTTTTTCTAATTCCACTAGGAAGTCACTGGAAGGCTTTAAGCAGAGATGTGATAAGCTCTGTTTTACAAGTCTTTTAAAAACATTTATCCGTCTATCCATCTATCCATCTATCTATCTATCTGTCATGATTTTCAAGCCATGAGGTTTTCAAGTCTCCAGGTCTAGGACTCAAACTGCATTTGGCTGGGTGGGAATCTAGCCCCTCAACCACCATGCCACCTGCCGGCCACCTGCAGGCCGCCCTACTTTACATTTTAATGTCATCATCCTGGCTGCTCACTGGAGAAGGCCCTGAAGAGAGGAAGTCAATATGGTATCTGACAGAGGATGGCAATTTAGATTAGGATATAGATTAGATTCAGGATGTATTTGGGGAGGAGACAAAACAAGATGCCAAATGCATGTGCAGGTTGTGCAGAAAAGAGGAATCAGACAGAGCACATCAGAGTTTTGAGGTCAATTTAAAATCAGTGGCAATGACCTTAAATTCTGTTTTGACCACTTTTGAGCCACCATTCCATCAAGTGGAGATGTCCGGAGGCAAATAGGAAAATGGGACTGGCGTTTAGAGAAGCCATCTGAGCGTGAAATAAGAGTCATCAGAGGGACTGGCAGGTGGCATGGTGGTTAAGGGCGCAGGACTCCCACATGACCGACTGCAATTTGAATCTCGGACCTAGCGGCTTAGATTGCTTTCTCACTTTCCCCCTCTCTCTCTCACTCTGTCCCTCTCTAGTCAATTTAAATAAATAAATAAATAAAGTTAAATAAAATAATTATTTTTAAAAAAGAGTCATCAGATCAGGACAGGGTGGAATTCAAAATTAGGGACTGTATCGCAGGCCTGGTTCTGCGTCTGACTCTGTGTGACTTTTATCAGATCCAAACTCTTTTGGCAATATTTTAATTAATCTAAAAAGAGCAATAGTAATGCCTTGTTAGAGGATTAGAAGGAAAAATATGAAATGCTCTACATCCATGATGAATTATCTTTATTGTGGTTATTTACTGATTGCAAAGCATCTTGGTAGTCCCTTGGGGCAGAAAGTTGTGAGGCACCAGGGAAATATTACTGAGGGCTTGGTGATCATCTACAAATCTGGCTGATAAAAAGTTCAGAGGAGGGAGAATCATTTTAGGTGGGATGATTAAAGAAGACCACAGGGAGTTAAAGATGTGGCTTATTTTATTATTATTCTTAATCTGTTTCATGTTTTTAAGTTTATCTGTTAATTTTCTCCATGAGGTAGAGATCAACAGACAGGTACCCTCGGTCCTCATGCTACAATCGACCCCCACTGTCAGCCAGCCGGATCACAAGCACTTATGCATGAGCACATGTTCCTGGCTTGCTCAGAGAGAGCCCAGGACTTCCCCCATGTGGGTCCAGCTGTGCTACCACCTGTCTCCTGTTTTTATCTTTTAAAACAATTTTTTAAAATATTTGTTTATTTATTTAATTCCATTTCTTCTTATTATTTTTTAATTTGACCAGAGAGAGAGAAAGGGACAGTGAGAAAGCAAGCCACCAGATCCAGGGTTCGACCATGGTTGTCCATGTGGGAATCCAGCACCTTTAATCACCATGCCACATGCCACCCAAGAAACAATTTTTAAAACACATTTTAAAAAATTTTCTATCCAGTGCATCCACTCACTGGAGAGAGACAGAAGGGGAGAGAGAAAGTGAGAAAGCAACCCCCTGAAGGGAGTGACCACGCCACAATCCTGTCTCCTGTGTGTGTGGCGAGCGCACGTGCCCTATAGCAAAAACCTCTTCAAAAAAAAGAGAGAGAGAAAGCGAGAAATCACTCCCCAGGGGGGCTGGCCATGCTACAATCCCTTCTCCTCCATTCTCCTCTCGGGATCTTGGGCATGCACGCACACACGCCTGGTGTGAGTTTAAGCCACCGGGTCCAGGACTCGAACCATGGTTAACTACATGGTAGTCCAGCGACATAGCCATTAAGCTAACTGCTGGTCCCAACAAACTAAATTCTTTAAGCCATCAATTTCAACCTACATATTATTATTCTGTACAGAAATCTAGGAATATAAGACAAATGACCTAACTTTTCTTTTGATTAATGTTAGAGCTTAAATTGAACAAACTAAAATTTTAAACACTCAACCCTAAATACAGTTAAACATTTTAACTCCATTTATAAATTGAATATATATTATTTTCCTCTTAAGTACTTCACATGTGTAGTCCAACAAGCACAATTTCCCCAGAATACTTCAGCAGTTACTAGAAAATCTAATCTATTAAATTTATAATGAATTTCAAGGGCTTGTAAGTAATCCCATACTTTTTACACACATAGGCATATTATCTTGTGTCAGTGGCTCTTAGGCTAGGGAGCTTAAAAAAAAAAAATATATATATATATATATATATATATAGGTTCTATCTGATGTGAAATCAGAATATAGAGGACACCCCTTAGTAACTGTTACAGCACCTAAGATGGTTCTATATGCAGTCAGTGTTCCCAACCATTGCTAACCTCCAAGCTAAAATCATAAGTCTAATATCAGTTACTGACATATATTTGATAAATTAGCTATGTATTTTTACTTTTATACTTTAAGTCAGAATTCACCATGCTTATCTGTTAAGTACTCCATTGTCTAATACATTGCAATGATTATTACTAAACTTAGAACAGGAGCATTAATAGTAGTGAGTTTGGGTCCAGCAGGTAGCATGGTGGTTCAAGTGCTGGATTCCCATATGGCTGACCGTGGTTCAAGTCTGAGGCCTGGTGACTCAAAACTCACATGGGTGTGTGTGAGTGCATGCCCAAAATCCCAGGTAAAGAATGGAAGAGAAGAGACTATGGCATGGTCATACCCCTGGGAGGTGATTTCTTACTTTACCTTTCTTTGTATCTCTCCGGCAAGCTCAATCACCTTATGGGGAAAACTGAAGAAAAGAAAATCACATTAGGCTCATGTGTGTGCATGCACAAAACCCCAAGAAGAGAATGGAGGAGTAGAAGGGATTGTGGCATGGCCATTCCTTCGTGGGGAATGAATTCTCACTTTCCCTCTCTCTCTCCAGTGAGCACACATACTGTAAAGCAAAAACTTAAAAGAACAAAACAAAAGTGAATTTGATTCATTCTTCCATCTTTGTTTTCAATTCTAAACTTTTCTGAAACATGACAAGACACATCCAGTAAGATAATTTTATTCACTCTAATGAATTGTGCTTAGCATCAAGTTGGGGTTACCATTTTTGTCACTTCTGGGCCAATCCAAGTGATCCAGTTCCCCCAGTCCTTAGTGACAATTTACCTCTCTGTGAGAGGGGCAGGTTCTTTGTATCTAAATCAAATGGCAAACCAAATGGAGAAAAGAGCATTCCTGAACAAATCAGTTTGTTGCAGAGTACACACAAGCAGAGAATAGGCAAATACATAGTCATACAGGTAAAAGACAAGTAAGTCAAAGGAGAGGAAAAGAGGAGAGCATACAGGCACACGTGTGCTAATAATGACCCAAACTTCATACATCCATAAGAGAAATCTTCTACTTGACCTGGGAGACTAGTCCCTACAAAGTGACACTGGCTGGCAGGGGTCTGGCATGCCATCAAGTCGTCAGTGATGAAGCTCAAATTCTTTTTCAGTCAGATGGAGTTTTCAGCTGTATCCATTTCATCAAATGGGTTCTCTTAGCAGAATCGCAGTGAGATGTGTCTCAGATAGTAGTTCAGAGGCTCTTATTTTTATAGCCCCCGAAGACACGTTATCTCAGCTTTCAGATGTCACCCGTGAAGGAAAAGGTCCCAGAACCCACCAGTTCATTTGCATGTGGGCAAGGTGGCTATCAGCTCATTTGGCTCAGTGACAGCAAATATGATAGAGCAAAATTCATACACCCAAAATGAAGTTACATTGTCAAAGCATTCAAAATGGAGTTAGTACTGGCAAGGTATAATTATGTAAGCTTTCTGATTCAATGTGAATTGTAACACTGTAAAGTACACATCATAACACCATTTCAGTGAGATGAAGTTATTCATAATTGGACTGATTTTTGACTGGGACATGAATCCAGGGGGCTATATCTACCCAGAGTGATCCCAGCAGAGGCAGCCCTTGAGATTCAGGGGGAAAATTCATTCCTTCCCTTTATTGTTTAGGGAATTCTTATTGGGAGTATTAGATTCACAGGTTAAAATGCAGATTTCTAAGTCTGTATCCAGAACTGCTATGTTATGATTTCCAGGTACCTGTCCCAGGAAACTTCAACCTTTGCTTTCAATTCTTGATGGATAACTCTGTGGGTTGGTGAAGGCAGCCAGATCTCACATGGCCAACCACATGGTTTGAGTCGTGGACCCAGTAGCTTGAGAAACATGCCAGATATACACATGTGTGCACACCAGATCCTGAAAGAAGGGAGAGATGGAGGAGAAGGGATTACAGCCAGACCATGCCTCTTGGTGGGGGAAGTGCTTTCTCTTCTCCGTCCCTTTCTGTCTCTGTCTTTGGTGAGCACACACACCATTTAGCAGAGTGGGGGGCGGAGGGCAGGGAGCATTCCCACTTGGGAACCATGGAAAATTTTGAGCTGGGGTAATTTAAGGAGGTTGATCTGATTCTACCCAGGGCAGGATGAACATAGGAGGCTGTGTCCAGATGTGAAGAGGCAGTGGCAGTGTTGACAGAAAGTCAGATGGTATTTGGAGCCCAGACTGGGATCAGAAGAAAAGGGGAGGCAGAGGCAGTTCTGACTCTGGGTATCTTGTTCAGAAGCCTCCTTCAGACTATGTTTGCCTTTCCTATTTGGAAACTCTGGCCTCCTGGGACCTGTAACTACCTGATGAGAAACTACTGTCTCCAGCCTAGAGTCCCTGGAGTCCAGATTTGTGCTCAGTCAGCCTTCCCTGGGCCTTGGGGCATGCTCGGCCAGGGCTGGGAAGAATTAGAGTCTGTCTTGACAGTCTTCAGCTGGGGGCTGGGGAAATGTCAGCTCTGTCCCTTTTAACCACAACCCCTAGCCAGTTCATTGAGCTGAACCAGGTCCCTGGAACCATCCATAGCTGCCTCTTGAGGAATAAGGAATAGACAATTCTGTTTTTAAAAGGGATTGTTTTTTAAAATTTTTTTTTTTTTTGGAGAGATTTTCACTGTAGGGCGCGTGCGCTCGCCAGACAGACAGAGAGAGACATAGAGACAGAAAGCGAGAAATCACCCCCCAGGGGGAATGGTCACGCCTCAATCCCTTCTTCTCCATTCTCCTCTCGGGATCTTGGGCAC